CACAGAACTCGTGTCTGTCTCCTTTCAGCCTTGGGCCTTCAGTTGTGGGTTTGGCCCGGTACTCACATGTGTCTCCGTGTAGCCCACCCAAGAAAGACCTTTGTGACCGTTACCTCCCCAAGGGAAAGCTGATCACTGCCAAGATCCTACGGTAGGTGTCTTCTCTCCCTGCTGCCTCTGCCCCTCTTTGTTTGGTGTGACCCCTTTCTCTGGGAGCCCTGGGAGGAGATTTTTGAGGTAAATTCAGAACGTAAAGGCGTGGGTAGTGATGCATGTAGTACTCAAATGAGTGAAAAACCTTTGACCTCAGCTCCAGCCTTAGCCCTGGAGTAGAAGCGGCCTCTGTTGTTGGTGATGAAGCAGGTCCATCCTAGATGCTCCCTGACTTTTTCCACTGAGCAGATGAAATGTGTAAACCGTCCCTGAGAATGCTGGGCATTCCAAAAGGCAGGTGGGGCAGGGCCAGCCCTGACTGATAAAGAAGGCCTGCCTGCTGCTGAGGCAAGGTCTGGACAGCCTGTGGTGCCCGTCACCTCCTGTCCTCACTTCCTGCCCTTATTCTCTTCCTGCATTAGCGTGAACCCCGAGAGGAGCCGGGTAGAGCTGTCACTCCTTCCCAGCGACACTGGGAAGCCGGACGTGTTTTCTGCCTCCCCAGAACCACCTCTTCTGAACCGAGAGGAGAGGAAAGAAGGGGCTGAGGAGAGGAACCTAAAAGGAGAGGAGAAAAAGAGCCAGAAAAGGAAAGAGAAGAACCAGAAGGGGCAGGAGGAGGCAGAGTTGTCCAGCCAGGAGAAGAAAGCGCCCCAGAAGTCACAGAGGAGCAGGCAGGGCAAGCGGGAGCACCAGGAGCCTGCAAGTGAGCAGGTGAGTACTCGGGAGGATCACACCTCGCCTCACCCAGCCTTCTCTCAGAGTGAGAACACATGAGGGCGAGGAGAAACTTCTATTCCTGCACTCACCATTTCAGGAAAGAGTGAACAAGAGGCCGAAGAAGTCTGGGGCACCAGAAGAGGATGACAGTGGTGTGGAGGTCTATTACCGGGAGGGAGAGGACGAGACGGAGCAGCCGGGGGTGCTGCCCACGGTAAGGGTCACTCCCGAAGGGAGGGAGAGGCTTTTCGGGGAGGAGCTCCTTCCTTGCCTTCTTCCTGAAGAGCTGTGCTGTGCAGCCCCGTCCTCGTTACCTCATCTTCTGTAAGACAGTGGGCGACGGGTAGACCTCAGCCAGTCTAGCTCCTTGACTGGGTCTGTTAACACTAATAACATGTTTATCAAGAACCGAGGGAAGAAGTGGGCAGATGAAGAGAAGGCATGTATGAGCCCACGCTCCTCACAAGTGCTGCTTGAGAGAGAGGCTGTGAAGTCTCAGCCATGGGGCAGGGCTACTTCGCTCTGTCAACCCGTGCTGCCATCAGGATCTCTGTTCCAGATCTGCTACTGTGAGCGCGTGCGTGCGTACGTGCGTGTGTGCGTGCGTGCGTGCGTGTTTACATTTTATAAACTCATTGAGTAATTGACTTAGAAAGAACAGTTTAAAGTCACTGCTGTCCCCTCAGGAGACCGAGGCTGAGGGGTGCCTTTGGTGTGGCAGTAGGCAGGGGACAGGGAACAGTCCCTCAGTGTTCTGTGATCCTGCAGGGACAGCAGACAAAGCCCGCGGAGGTGCCCCGGCTGCAGCTCTCTTCAGGCTTCATTTGGGACGTGGGGCTCGACTCTCTGACTCCAGCCTTGCCCCTCCGAGGAGAGAGCTCAGACAGCGAGGAGGAGGAGGAGGAGCCGCGCCAAGCCAAGGTGCTCTATCTCCACGGCTTAGCTTCTCTCGCAGAGACCCCTCTCGCAGAGACCCCTCTGCCCCAGCTCCTAGGCCCTTTTCTGGCTTAGGTTTCTTCCTGGTAGGGTTCTTGGACTGTCCTGTGAACCCATGGCTTCTGCCTCAGGTCTCCCCTGGGCTTGAAGGAACAGCTGACTCCCTGTTCTTCCTTCCATGCAGAAGAAGAAGGGCAAGAAGGAGAGGGAGCTGGAGAAGCAGAAGGCGGAGAAGGAGCTGTCACGCCTTGAGGAGGCCCTCATGGACCCCGGGCGGCAGCCTGAGTCTGCGGATGACTTTGACCGGCTGGTGTTGAGCTCCCCCAACAGCTCCATCCTGTGGCTGCAGTACATGGCTTTCCACCTGCAGGCCACAGAGATTGAGAAGGCCCGAGCTGTAGCCGAGAGGGCCCTGAAGACCATCTCCTTCAGGTCTGGGCTCGGGCTCTTCCCTTTGTTGTGGCTTACAGAGTTTGCCGCCATGGCTCATTCTGCCTGGCTAGGGCCGGCAGCAGCCCATGATCTTTCCGGCTCATCTTGTAAGTGTAGCCATCCGAAAGATCACTCATTTATATTTTATGGTCCTCTTCGATGAAATCACTATGGCAACTTGTACTAGTCTCTGTGTGCTAGCAAGGTTCCTAGTTAAAACATGCAGAGCAGGGAGAACTCACACACACTTGGGTGTAAACCTATTCTTGGCAGAGCGGAGGTAGCTCTCTGAAGCCTGCTGTAGAGGTGACAGTTTTATGCTTTGCTCCCTTCAGTGGGGGAGAGAATCAGACTCAAGATTCTGTTCCAGTTTGCAGTCTGAAGGCTTCCTTCCCAGGAATGGAGGGAGAGATCAGGGGAGGCCCAGACTTGGTGGCAGTAAGAGATCAGGGAGTACAGGTCCCCTCACAGTGAGCTGCAGTGGAGATGGTCTGAGTGTCTGCCTTACAGGGGGGACTTGAGGACAGACGTGGTTGTTGCCTGGGAGAGATGGTTCTTGGGTGTCCAATGCCGAGTTGATGGAACTCATGTTCTACCCACTCCACCTCCAGAGAGGAACAGGAAAAGCTGAACGTGTGGGTGGCACTGCTGAACCTAGAAAACATGTACGGCTCTCCGGAGTCCCTGACTAAGGTCTTCGAGCGGGCTCTGCAGTACAGTGAGCCTCTCAAGGTTTTCCTGCATCTGGCTGACATCTACACCAAGTCAGAGAAGTTCAAGGTGGGCTACTAGGCTCCTGAACAGGCCCAGGTCAGCAGTGTGTGAGCACTCCACCCCTAGGTTCCTGTGCGGTCCCATTCTAGCCTCCTAGGCCCCTCCCTTCCCTCTGCTTACCCTTGCCATTCTCACCCCTGTCTTCTGTCCAGACCTTTGTCCCTGGAGGGGTTACTAGGGAGGCTCCTCCCTCCCACCTCCTCACCTTCCTCATTGCCCCTCTGAAGTGCCACCCTGTGTCTTTCCCATAGGAAGCTGGTGAGCTGTACAACCGGATGCTGAAGCGTTTCCGGCAGGAGAAGGCTGTCTGGATCAAATATGGTGCTTTTGTTTTGGGGAGGAGTCAGGCTGGGGCCAGTCACCGCGTGCTGCAGCGAGCCCTGGAGTGCCTGCCCACCAAGGAGCGTGAGTGCTCTTCCCCAGTTCCCGAACACACACAGGCCTGATACCTGGAAGTGGCAGTTGGTATCCTATAAAGGATGGAGTCACTCCTGACTTAGGGAAGCTAATGATGGGCTCATGGATGGTGATGTGTGCATGTCAGATGCTGGATCCCAAAGGATGGAGGAGCAGAACCAATCGGCACTGATTCTGTTGTCCATGGGCCTAAGATGAGGGGTGTCTGCAAGGCTTGGGTGTATATTTGACTTCAAACCCACAGTATCCTTTTGGGGGTTTGGCTCTCTTACCATCCTAGATCTTGGCCCTAGAGCAGTGAATTGGACTAACCCTAACCCTGTAGCATAGTGCGATGTGGTGAGGGGTCTCTGGAATCGTCTTCCCTCTAACCTGTCCTTTCTCCACAGATGTGGATGTGCTTGCCAAGTTTGCCCAGCTGGAGTTCCAGCTGGGGGATGCAGAGCGGGCTAAAGCCATTTTTGAAAACACACTGAGCACCTACCCAAAACGCACAGATGTCTGGTCAGTCTACATCGACATGACCATCAAGCATGGCAGCCAGAAGGAAGTCAGGTGAGGGACAACAGGCTGACTCCTGGTGGGGTTGGTTAGGAGGGAACTTTGGCCTTATTAACGTTTAGCCGACTTGATACCGAAAAACAGCTTTGGCATGGTTCCCTGGTCCACTTGATTTCTCCTTTCCAGTCTTTGTGTGTCTGAACCCTCTGCTGGGGGGTGGCCCGGGAACTAGGAGACTTGGAATCCCATGTGATTCACATTGTGCCCGCCTCTCATCAATGGAACCTTCATGGCAGGCTCTCACTTTTGTCCCCCATAATCCCTGCAGGGCAAGGACGGTGGAGGTGGGTAGTTGGGGCAGGGTCCAGAAGGAACAGGTACCCGATTCCTACCCTTCTGGGGGTTGAAGTTTGGCTTCTGTCATTGTGTGTCCCCATCCCAGCAGCTCTGTCCTTCACTGTGTAACTTCAGGCAGGTTAAATCTTTGGTCTCTGACAGGAGTTCATACTGACGGTAAGAAATGGGGTCTCGGATGTTAGAGGGACCTGGTGCCCGAGAGCAAGTTGGGGAACGCTAGCTAGGAGTCATGTGTAGGAACCCTGAGGGAGTTGCTTCCCTGTTCCTCCTCCTAGGGACATCTTTGAACGAGTCATTCATCTGAGCCTGGCCCCTAAGAGGATGAAGTTCTTCTTCAAGCGCTACCTGGACTACGAGAAGCAGCACGGCACTGAGAAGGACGTGCAGGCTGTCAAGGCGAAGGCCCTGGAGTATGTGGAGGCCAAGAGCTCAGGGCTGGAGGACTAGGAGCCCCAGGCTCCGCTGGACACTGTAGCAGCAGGCACTGGACGTTTAGGAAGCGGCTGCCTGAGGACATTAGTGCTGCTTTTTCTGCAGCGTGCCTGGGACAATCCTGTTAGAATAAAGAATTTTGAGAGGCTTTCTCCTTTTTAAAAAAAAAAATTAAAAATTAAAAAAAAATTTTTTTTTTGAGACAGGATCCTCAGTCTGGTCCTGGCTGGCCTGGACTCTGCTATGCAGACCTGGCCAGCCTTGAACTCAGAAATCTACTGCCTCTGCCTCCCAAGTGCTGGGATTAAAGGCGTGTACTATCACTTCTTGCTTTAAAAAAATATGTATATCTATATTTTTAAAATTTAGGGTGCCACCGATTGAGCTGAGGCCTTACACTTGCTGAGCAAGTGTTCTTCCACTAACCCCCAGCCCTTGAGGTTTAATGCTTTGTTTATGTAACACATTACGTGTCCTTCTCCTTTCCTGAGGTGGCTCCGGTTTCAGGCAGCAATCTCTTGGGCTTCCAGGAAAAAACAAACATTCCTTTCAGGAGAGTTTGCTGCCGTCTAAGAACAGAAAGGCAAAGCCAGTGTTCATGGTCAGGGTCCCACTTTGTCCCTTGGCAAGCTCTCAGTCCATACCCACAGGGTCGGGGAAGACATTGTCTCGGGTCAGCCCGTGCCATCTGCCCTGTTGTGGAGGCTGGGAGACTAACAGGAGGGCAGAGGAAGAATCCAGAAACATGGGAACCTGAAGCTGCTAAGGAAAGCTGAAAGTATTGATTAAACTGCCTGGTCTCCGCCCTCTCCCAAGGCCCGGTGACCCCTCAGGTCTGCCACAGCCCAGCAGTCGGTGCTGGCACAGACCCTACTACTAGTTGTTGGCATCTTTTTTTTCCTTCAGCCTAAGGGAATGAAAAGCTTTCGCTGACAGCCTAAATTGTTCTCTGAGTTTTCTGTGGGAAATGGGTCGTATGCCAGGAAGCAGGACAGGGACAAGGCAGAGCAGGAGGTTTTGAGTGTGGAGCTAGTCGATGGAGGGCTGAGAGGGAGGAATTGCTGGAGCCCACGGTTCTTGGAGTTTATTTAGTACAAGTCCTGCCCATGGTAGGAGCTTCTGGTGTGATCTTTTCAACTTACCTGCCCCTGCAAAAGGCCAGGCTGCCTCTGACTGGATTAAGTCAGGTAACTGGATCAGATGGTCAGGAGACTCAGCCCTGCGGTGGACGTTTGACTCGCCTTAGACAGCTGCCACTTTTGTGGTCCACTGTAGTCCTGTCCCATCGCCTCCCACAATGGGCTGTATGCCCTTGTCAAGTGCACAGATACCAGTTAGCCTTTTAGAGTAAGAAAAGCTTTATCAAAAAGTTTAAATATATAAAATTAGGCCAGAGGTATACAGTGGAGGCAGCTTCCCAGCTGTACGCCGAGGAGCTGGGCATCCCTATGCAATTAGACACAAGTTAACTGCACAAAGTGGACTATACAACAGCGAGTCCCCCAGTGGGCTGTACTGGCACCAGGCCCACCAAAGATCGCCCACGTCATAGTTACGGACCAGCTCTGGGAAAGTCTATAGCTGTGACTTGTGCCTTGGTGGCCATGGGAGATGATTTCAGCAGGTCTGAGAAGTCAAACCCTCACCCCCAGTCTCTGGACCATGTGGTCCACAAGATCCTTGCAAACTACTAGTTGTTTTATGTCCCCTTGGTCTATGCCCAAGACACTAGTTAACAGGAAAATCTGATGCTGAGGTGAGCATGCCATGCGGGTTTGGTTGAGACTTAAGTAGTGCCGAAGAGCAAAGCAGCAGGCCCTAGGCGGTGAGCAGGGCCATCTCCACGTTGTCAGGAGCTGTGCCATTACCTGTCAGGCCCTGGGCCCACTTGTGTAAGCGACTATAGAGTGGGAGGCCCTGGTTCTCACGGTACAAATAGACCCCAGTGATGGCATTCCACTGTGGTCGTGGCTGTGTGCCTTCCACTGGGAACTTGGCAACCAGCTCTTCATCATCCTTGTTGAGGGCCACAAAGCCAAAGAAACGGCGCACGTTGTTGGCGGCCAGCACCCTTGAGTGTACCTCCACTGTGCGCTGGAACAGCTGGTCCTCGTTGGTGCGGTACTGTGCCCAGTAGGCCTCCTGGCGGTAGCTGAGCGGCGAGCAGTAGTGCTTGAGGCATTTGGTCAGGAACACCAGGATGGCCACCACGCCGATGAGGAGCCATCCAAAGAGCTGTCCAGAGAACAGACAGGGCTCAGGGAGGGGCTGAGAGCTGCCTGGACCCTGCCTATGGAGAGGGGGGCAGAGGGGCTGGGGGGAGGGGGGCGGGGAGGGGGAGACACGTGGAAAAGGAACTGATCCTGCTCTGCGGCAAGCAGGACTTCCTCTTTTCTATTCTTACTCCCTTTAACCCACACACTCTCCCGTGCTTAGGCTGTACCTTCTGCCTTTTTTATTCTTTAGTCCCAAGGGTGCATTATCACTGCGCTCCACCAAAACCCAGCTCAGGAGCTAGGAGTGGAGCTCAGTGACAGAGCACATGTTAAGCATGTGAGGTTCCCATCCACACACACACACACAAAAACAGTTCAAACTGTGGGTCAGCTCAGATAACATCTCTGAAGACTTCAGAGGCTTCAATCTCACACAACATCAATATCTGCCTGGCCTCAGATTGCCTGTGTGCTTACTTCATGCTAGGAAGATGTAAGTCTGTCGAGGGCAAGGACCTGTGGATCAGTGACCAGGATTTCTGTATTTACCATCTCCCATCTCTGATGCTGACTTCAGCTCCGTTTCTCTGCTTCCTTCCTGCCCCCACCCCAAGACAGGGCCTTAAGTACTCAGTGTGGCTGAGGATGGTCTTGAGTTTCTGATGCTCTTGCCTCCACCTCCTGGGTGCTGAGGTTACAGGCATGTACCACACCTAGTTTATTGGTGCTCCGGATCAAGCCCAGGACCTGACGTGTGCTAGGCATGCGATCTACTGAGCTACATCTCAGCCCCACCTGTTCCCCTTATGTTGCTGCTGTTTAAAGAATTACTTTAGGTTTTGTGTGCTGGGGTGTGTGTGTACATGTGTCAGGGGATATGTTCATGTGTCAGGGGATATGTACATGTGTCGGGGATATGTACATGTGTCGGGGAATATGTACATGTGTCGGGGGTATGTACATGTGTCGGGGATATGTACATGTGTCGGGGAATATGTACATGTGTCGGGGGTATGTACATGTGTCGGGGGTATGTACATGTGTCAGGGGTATGTACATGTGTCAGGGGTATGTACATGTGTCGGGGGTATGTACATGTGTCGGGGGATATGTACATGTGTCGGGGATATGTACATGTGTCGGGGGATATGTACATGTGTCGGGGATATGTATCATGTGTCCGGGGATATGTACATGTGTCGGGGATACGTACATGTGTCGAGGATATGTATATGTGTCAGGGAATACGTACATGTGTCAGGGGGTATTTTTTGTGAATGCAGAGTCCAGAGAGGGCATCATATTCCCTGGAGCTGGAGTTACAGGTAGCTGTGAGCTGCCTGACATGGGTGCTGGAACTGAACTCAGGTCCTCTGTAAGAGCAGTACTCTCAGTCTTTACCCGGCCATTTCTCCAGCCCTCCTCCTTTTCATGGAGACAATGGTCCAAAGTGGCCCTTAATTTACTATGTAGCTAAAAATGACCCTGAACTCCAGACGCTCCTACGTTTACCTCCCCAGTAGTGGATTACAGCAAGGTCCAGCACAGGCAGCCAGCTCAGGCTTTTTTCCTCCTCCCTCCCTCCCTCTCTCCCTCCTCTCTCTCTCTTTCCTTTCCTTTCTTCCTTTCTTTTTAATGTATATGAGTGTTTTGCCTGCACATAAGTCTATACACTATGGGTGTGCCTAGTGCCCTTGGAGGCCATTGAATCCCCCTGGAACTGGAATTACAGATAGTTGTGAGCTACAATGTGGTTGCTGGGAATTGAACCCAGGTCCTCTGGAAGAGCAGCCAGTACTCTTAACTGCTAAGCCATCTCTCTAGCCCCTGACCATTCTTTTGACCCCTTTTCCCTCAACCAACCTCCAAGCAGGATGCAGGGAAGGCTGTAGCTAGGCCCAAGCAGCAGTCGCCTGCCTCTTCCTGACTGACTCGGCTGGGATAGGAATGTGGTCATCCCTGGAGTCAACCAGGTTCCACTATCAGCTCGAAGGCCACAGCAGATAGTTCTGAGGTGGCCTGCAGGGGTCAATGCCCAGTCAAGCTAGAGTAAAGATAATCTCAGCAGGTAGATTGGGAATGGTCCTGTGGTGTTATGGGATACGGGATGCTTTCTCTGGGCTTCCAGGTGGTGTCCCCTTATGCTTAAAACTGTCTCTAAGGGCTGGAAGCGGAGTTAGTGGCAGAGCACATGCTTGGCACTCATGTGGACTTGGATTCGATCCCAAGCACCAAAGGCAAATCAGAGACACACGTACCTGTGATGAACTGACCCTGTCCCACGGAACACTGAGCCACGATTAACCTGCCCTGAGGCCTGACATGGTCATCTAGCGCTTCCCTGGAGACTCGCTCATTTTCACACTGGACCATCCTATTGTGTACCGGCCCACCAGCTCCCACCTCGGGAGGGAAGGGGGAAGGCTGCCCTTCACACAGCCCCTTACCTGGGACTCATACTTGAGCCTACGGCTGACCTCTTCCCGGAAGCCTGACAGGTTGGCAGGGCCCTCTCCACAAGGGAACCTGGCTAGGATCTCCGTAGCATGAGCTGAGGGGAAGCCTTCATCCCCAGCCGTGAGCGAGGACGGGTCCACAAACTCACTGAGAGCACAGACGTAGGCCTCCCCTCGGAGCAGGGAGATGACAGACCAGGTGACGGGAGCCACAGCTGCGCGGCCCAGGATGGAGCTCAGGAGGAGGAAGTTGGGGGCCGCCGAGCAGTTCTTGGCCCTCCGATACTGGCACTCGGCAACTAGGTTCCAAGTGTGGTTGTTGAGGATGACTCCAATAAGGAAGAGCGCCAGCGCAGGCACGCCGATGGCTGTCAGCCCGTACAGGTAGTTCCGGGCAGGTGAGCAGGGACAGTGGAAGGCCACCACAGAGAACAGCTCCTGACTGCCCACCGTGCCCAGGGCCACCAAGCCATTGAAAATCATCACATCCTTGCTCTTGAAGAAGAGAGACAGGAAGCGGAAGTTCTCCGCGATCAAGGCCGCCATGGTGAGGAGGCAGAAGAGGACGATGGAATGGGTGGCTTCTGGTGAGACTAAGAAGGAGCTCAATCAGGAGGACTTCGGACAGCAGAGCAAGGCTATGCCATTTTATCGCCTACAGTGGCTGAACTGGTGCTTCCTGTGAAACACAGATGAGTGATAAATGTGAACACAGGCTGAGGGTGCTGCTGTGGTCAAGCAGGTGAGACAGAAGGGAGCTGAGGGCCTCCACGGAAATGGTGGTAGCCATGGTTGCTTAAGTTCCTGCTAGGTGCCAGATGCTCTCAAATGATGTTGCCTGTCCTCATGAGTCTGCAGAGTATCCATGGCAACCTTGTACACCTCAAGCACAGAAAATGATGAGGCTTCCTGAGGATGAGCCAGCCCTTGGCCAGGGCCACATGTAAATAAATGGCAGGCCTCCAAGTTCAAGATCAGGTCTGCCTGCTTCGACTGTTATAAAGTCTCTTTTGCCACTACCCTTGTCCCATCAGGATCAAGAATGACATTAGGTGATACAGGATGATTTCTCTCTGGAATTCCAGGAGGTACAAAGATGCTAAGGATTTGGGACAATTTGGAGGGTGTGATATGGGTATCAAAGCTTCGGGGGCTATCCTAGTGGACAAAGGACAGACTGGATCAGGGTCTGGTGGGGAGCCAGGTCCTCTGGATCAGGGCAATTTTGACACGAGATTCAACTGTGAAAAGGGTAAGTCATTCTGGTCCCTGACCCCTTCTGGGAATGTTAGGGGACAATAAATGATGCCTGATAGTAGTTCAGCATCCAAAACTCTTACCCTGTCATGTCTACCAGTTGAGGATGATTCTCCTGATGGCAAAGGTCAGAAAATGAAGACATGAGGAGGACAGGGTATCTTGCCTGAGGCCAGGCAAATCTGGAGGAGCCAGGCAAGGCTTTGACCATGACTTGAGAATACTTAGGAAGCGGACAAAATAAGTCTGAGCTAAGATAGTCCCCATGTTCACAACCTCCTTCAGACCTTGCTCCCCTCAAACTTCCCCAATACAGCATCCTGCAGAAGCTCTGCTCCAAGAAGCCTAGGCTGGAGACCTTCAGCACCCGCCAGCCACAGCAGCCTCAGTGGGGTTCAGGGAGGGGTACCTGTCAGCCTTCCCCTGAATCAGTGACTGCAGCAGAGATGGCACCCTGCCAGAAATGGCCTTGGCCTCAGGCTCTTTGGAAGTTTAGCCCTAATTCTTTTCCCAGGCTCCACCCACACACCCAGAGAGACAGGCAGGGTGTGGCCCCATGTCCATCCCCATCAGGGGAATGAAAAAAACAAAACTTCCCAGGCCAAAAGAAGCCTACAAGTGGAGAGAGGGGTGAGCTGTGAAGGGAGCTAGGGAGGCCTGTGCCGGCTCTCTCTGTTTCATAGTCACATCCCTTTTCCTGTTGCAGCCTCTGCCAAGGACGCCAGACGGGCACAGGCAAGACCATGTGGCCGTGTGGGCTCCAGGAGGAGGGAATGTCTGATTCGCCAGCTCAGTGCCCAGAGGTCCTGAATAATCCCACAAGGAAGGGACTTCGTCCTGTTACTGGAGATAAACAGGCTAGAGGCAACCCCATCCTTCCCTTTCTCCTTTCCTGACACCCAATTAGCTCGGTTTAGTGGCCCTAGGCTCTTAAATCCACCCAATGTTAACGCACAGGATGCCTGATCGCATGGGTAATGAGCAGAGGCTGGACTAGGCCATCTTCTGAGATTATTATGCCAGGGTCCTCTTCCCAAGGACAGGAGACCGGCAGCTAGGGGAGGGAGAGGGAGCAACACTTCTATGCTCTGAGTGAGGGACTTACACCAAGGGTCCCTCTCCAGACAATCCCTGGAGGCTGCCTGGGACCAACCTGCCAGCTCCTTGATACCTGCACACCCCAGGAAGGGGTCCCTCCTTACCTGGGGCTGCCTGCAGGCACCCGTAGCCTTGGCTTCCTGGGCTGGCCTCTCAGAGTAACAGCAGCGTGGGCACCGCAGACCCTGGACAGACTCAGGGCTGCAAGGCAAAGTGGCCTCGCAGCGGGGGGTCACTGGCGGCTCCGCTTCTGCGTTTGAAAGGAACAGGGCTTTGGGCCCGGTTACAAACAAACTTAACTCCAGGCGTCTATAGATGAAGTGCAGGCATCTGCAGACAAATTCAACTCCAGAAAAAGAGAGAAAGAAACAGTGGCGTGGAACTTTCTCGCCAGCGAATGGAAAAACAGCCTCCCGGCGCCAGGCAGAGGAGGGCGGGCTGCGGAGGGCGGCGCGAGGCAGAAACAGAGGAAGTAGAGGAGCGGTCTCGGCTGGCTGCTGTGTCCTGTCCCAGCCCGCCTCTGCCTCTGGGCCCGCTGTGGCTGGCCCTACTGGCCCTGCCTCGACTCTACCCTGTGCACCCCTCAGGGGCCATCTGGGAAGGTCTAGGCAGGAGCCAGGCGGGCCCATCCAGGAGATCTTGCCCAGGCTTGCCCTCCAGGCCAGTTTAAAGAACAGCCCCCATGCTTGACACCCACCTGGCAGAAGCTTGTGGGAGTCAGGGAAGAGGTAGGTATTCAGGATTGATGGTGAGGTTGCAGAATGCAAAAGGACAAGACCCCGATCCCCTCTGCCCTTCTCTCTCTGAGGGTCCTTCCTGCCTTTGTCTCCCAGCCATCCCCAGGAGAGGCTCTCCACCAGAGTTCAGCTAACTCCCAGGCCCTGTCTCCATCCTCCTCTGTACGGCTGATACTGAATCAGGGAATCTGGGGATCCTCTGGGCTCCTAGGGCAGAGGCTGGGCAGAGGTAAAAATTAAAGGGAAGCAGGTTTCTAAGCTGCCCTGCCTGTCCCTAGAGGGGTCATGAGCTCCTATCTCTGGGAGCTCACAAGCAAGGACTGGAGAGTCATGAGTCAGATACACGGACAGGTAGAATGTCAAGATGAACCCAGTGGTTCCTAGGATTGGGAGCGCTAACCCCAGGGCCATCAGCTCTCCAGGGCTGTGACAGTGAAACTCACACTGAGTGGCAAGCTGAAGCCCCCGAGTCTGGCTTGTCTGTGTGGCAGGAATGAATGGAGAGGACTCGGCATTTCTTTATCTTTGCCTTTCCACATGCTCTTTACAGATTGGGGGACTTGCCTTAGCTCCTACTACTCTGGTGTTGGACCCCCAGGTCTCACCAAAGCTCTCCCTCACATTGGCTTCCCCAACCACTTTCTAGCATCCTGTCCCTAGCGGAAGGCCCCCCTCCACACACACACATCTGGTCCCTTCATTCAGGGCTAGAGTCAAATTCCACTGCCTCTTCTCTGCCACCCTGGCACCCAGGTTCCACCTGAGAGTGGACAGATGGTAGATGAGGGAAGATGAGAATATGAAGGTCCAAGTGAGCTCTGGATGGGCAGGGCTGAGGACAGAAAGATGGGACCGGGAGACAAGAAGCCCGCCTTCACCTGTTTCCTCTGCTTGGACAAGATTACTGTCCCTTGGTTGGGGTCAGCAGAGCGGAAGGCAAGCAGCCCAGGGCTTGGAGATGAACAAGCATTAACCACACTGGCCCAGGTGTCTACTGTGAGCCGTGTGAGTTTGCGCACGGTGAATCCGTGCCGTAGATGGCCTTCTCCCTGTTGCCCAACGAAGAAACGGGACCCAGAAAATGAAGCACTTGGCCCAGGGACGCACTTTGCAAATGGTAGAACCAGCATCTAACCCAGTTTTACCCCACTCTAGTCTTTATTCCCCCCGCCCTTGGCAACACCCTCATCTTCACCACACCTCAGGGCAAGCTCCTCAGGGAGCCTTTGAGAAAATAAGAGTTAATCAGCTTCCATTTCTAGCCCTCAAGCCCCACGGATGGTCTGCTTCCCTAAGGTTGTGTGTGAGAATATTAGTTATGTACTTGGTGTGAGGTAAACATGGAGTCTGTCTCAAAAGTTGCCCAGTGGCCTCCGTGACGCACACCTTGGCCTCTCTCATGTGGTCCTAGGTCTTGGCATCTTATCCTGTGTCACTCAGGTGTGTCACACCAGCTGAAACCCATTCCATCTTACCCAAGAAACTGGTAAAGATTATGAGAGGGCTGGTTGCCCTGGGATCCTTGAGCAACCAGAGGAAACGTTGGGGTGTGGGCTTTGGAAGCCTAAGTGGAGCCAGCGAGGCAGGGATGGGAAGAACAGCATCACAGTGAGGCTGGGGAAGGGACTCGGCTACCAGTCCTGCTCCCACGGCCAGATCTGAACACTCATAACACTGCAATGGCAGGAGACGAGGCACAGGATGACTCTGCTCCCAGGCCACCCAGGGCAGCATCACAGCTAAAGAGGTAAGGTCCTTCAGCTCCAAATTTCCTTTTTCACACTAGCAGGTAAATGCCTGGACTTGTGGCTGTGCCTCAGAATTGTTTTTCTGTCTACACTGAGAGGCAAAGGGCTGTGGGTTCCCATCTCTTCTCCGGCCTCTACAGCCAGCTACAGCTCACACTTTGCTGAAGTAGGTGGCCACTTCCCTGCGTGGAGGCCGGGGCTCACCGCCAGCCCAGCCATTGCTCATCAGTGGTGCCTCCTGGCCCAGCCGCAGTGGCGGTTTGCATTTGTGCCAGCTCATGAGTAGCCTGTTCATGGTGCCTTGGTCAGTGATACCACGCAGCTTCTCCCTCTCTTCCTCTGTCCTGTCAGAGGGACTCTGAGCAGCCTCCACGGTGGTGGCTGTGGCTGTGACTGTGGCGGTGGCCAGCACTCCATGGGTGTGACCCAGTTCCAGGTCATGGTTCATGGCTTCAAAGAACTGCTGGATACATACCTTAGCAAAGGCCTTGGCGTGCTCCGTACATGTCTCATCAAAGAGCTTACGCTCAATGTCAATGTAGTGGGACCAGTACTTGCTCTTGAGAAAGGCAGCTTGCGTGAAGCAGGGCCGCACAGAGCGCACCACGAATGCCAGTAATGTTGTCAGCAGCACGAAGGACCAGCCCAGCGCCTGTGGGGAGAGGAGGATGTCAGCAGACCTACCTGCCCAGACCCCCAAAGGACTGATTAGGGCCTCCACAGAGAAGAGCAGCCATGGACCAAGTGGCACCACCTCTTGGCCTCTATCTCCCCCATGTGTAAAATGGTCACATTCTGGGAGCGTAGACCATGCTGCTTTGGCAGGGCACTCAGTGGACAGCAGTTAACTCCGCACCCCAGAGTGAGGCCTCCTGGTAGGAATCCTGTCTCCACTTGATCTTTCTGTGTCTCAGTTTCTCTGCTTACAAGATGGGGCTCCTGGCCATAGCACGTACCTCACAGGGCTTTTCTGAGAACCAAGTGATATAAGACAGCTCGCATATAGCGCTCTTTGTTAGACATCGTCATGACACCACTCAGCGGCCATGTCTCTTCCTTCAGAAGGCCTTTCCTCACCTCCCTGGGCCTAGTGGCTTTCTTCCTCCAAGTTCTGGGCTTTTCCTCTGGCTTCTGGAAGTGACACCGTCTCTAAGTGAGCACTCCCTCCACCGGGCTGAGCTGGACTCTCAAGGAATTCCAGAGACACCCTGGACAGTCCTCGACCTCCACTGAAAAGCGTGGGACACATGCTCTGACCGTAGATCACCACAGGACAGGACACAGAGCAGGACACCCCTCCCTGCCTGTACGTGGGGTCAGACCCCCATCTGCACCGAGAAGAGTTGGGAAAAGTCAAGGAAGTGGGGGTGGGGGTGGTGTTAGTGGTGCCCAGTGGCTGCCATGGGGGTGGGTGGGAAAGTCCAGAACGTTTTACTCAGTCAGGGGGCTGCCTCCCATGTTGCTCACTAAGCCGTTGTGGTTACAGAGGGCTTGCGTTTTCTCATGTTCCAAGTGAAGCTGGAAATCTGATTATTTTCTCTTTGACAATTTCTAGATAAAGTCAATTCTAAAGTGACTTCAGAATGCAGTCTCTGCAAGTCGTGGGGACTTGTCTACAAGTCAGGCTAACCCGTGGCCTCTGGGGGGACCTTCCAAGCTTGCACAGTGTGACAGTTTAAAGGTCAAGGGAAGTGGCAGCCGCTCCAGGGCCTGAGGCCTAGGGTGATGGGACAAAGATCCACAGATGAGGAGGTAAAAAGCTTGGCTTAAACATTCACAGTTAGAGACTCTTGAGGCCGTCTGGGTGGTGACAGGGCCTGTACAGGGAAAAAGTCCCCTCCCCTCAGGGGCGGGGGAGTCAGGGGCCTGCACTGGCCAGAGCAGAGTGTGCCTGCTTCTCTAGCTCCACAGGAGCAGACACTGCTTCCTGCAGTCTCCCTCATCACACAGTTCATGAACCCAGGACAAGAAGCCCAGATGGTCCTTCAAGTCTGATCCCAACCATCCATCTCCCTCACCCATGTGCTCCTGTTTAAGATACCCAGACCCTCAGCTTCCACTCCCGGAGCAGGGAGGCACCAGCTGGGGGCATTTGCCAGGGAAATGTACCCAAATGGCTTAGCCTTCCGCCGGCCTCACTACTGCCTGGGCCTGGGAAAGGAAATGAATGCAAATTCTCTCAGCCTCTCTCAGCTCTGAGCTCAGGACAGGGGAGGTGGAAAACACGCTCTCCAGGTAACCCTGTCTGAGAGAAGACATGGGCTCTGCCTTAAGTCTCAGCTAGGAATACTTCCCTCTACCCACAGCCATCTGAGGGAAAACCCCACTTTGAGAAGGGACCGTCCCAGAGAGACCCTGGCCTGTGAGGAGACCCAGCCCCCTCACCTGAGAGATGCAGCGCAAATACCGCACGGCCACCTCTCGGGCCAGCAGCCAGTTCCCATCGTAGATCTCAGGGCAGGGCACTCGGGCCAGCAGGCGGGCCAGCTCTGCAGCAGGCAGGCCGGGCACCAGGCTGCCATTGCCTAGCGTGGCCACCGGCACCGCTGTGCAGAAGGCACAGAGGAAGCACTTGCCATCCAGCAGTGTGACAGCCACCCAGACGACCGGTGCGATGAGAGCCCGCTGAGCCATGGAGCAGAACATGTAGCGTAGCACGGCTGGGTCCTTGGCCCGGCGGCCCGCGGGGCGCTTCCACTCCTCGGCTAGCATGGATATGTTGTTGTTCATGACGAGGCCAAGCAGGAAGAGCACCAGGGGAGGCGTCAGCAGTATGCCCATGCTGTAGGCCACATTGTAGCCCGGCAAGCAGGGGCAGTTGAAGTCAAAGGCAGAATACATCTGGGCACTGGCCAGCGCCATGATGCCACAGATGCCGTTCATGAAGGACTCTTGGTTGGACTGCAAAAACTGGAAGATCATCCGAAACTTGTCCATCGTGTCCTGGGAGGGTCCTCAGCCTCTTCCCCTCTCCCCAGACAGCTCCAGTAAGCTTCCCTGCCCACTGGGCATCCACCTCATGACTGGGATCCCGGCCGGGCTAGCGGAAATCAGGGCAGTTGGTGAGGTCACTCTGACTCCGAGGAGCCTTCTACACAGGTGCTGGCAGAGAGGTCGCAGCTTGACCAATCCTGTGGGTACAGCCGGGACTGTGTCCCTCCCTCCCGCTCCCCTCCCCTTCTCTCCAGCTGCCTGCAGCCTAGAGAGCCTCAAAGCCGCACCCGATGAGGACCAGTTTTCTTTGCCTGTGGGAGGGAGGAGGAGACTGGACTTTGAGGGGCTACTGGACTCTGGGCAAGTGTGTCATCTCTCTGTGCTCCTCTCCTGAGCTCTCTCCGCAATGCCAGGACCCCAGGAGGCTCTTCCATCAGTTGAGACAATGATAATAGATGACATGGAAATAACGGTGGTGATAGAGCTGTGGCAGGTAGTGGGAGTTGGATATTACAGTGGGAATGGCAGGGGAGTGTGGCATACAGTAAAACTACCTGGACTTGGAGGATTTTCTTTTCTTTACTTTCTGTTTTTGAGACAAGGTCCCCAACTCATTATGTAGCTGAGGAAGATCCAGACTTCGCAGTCCTCTTGTCTGTACCTCCTGGATTCTGAGATTACAGGCTTGTGCCATCACAACTGGTGTTGGCTTTGGGGTTAGACTGAACAGGTTGCCTAAATTAGGGTTTTGGCCTGTTTCCTGTGGGTGTGTCTGTGTTTGTGAGTTGTGAGTGGCAAACCCTTCCAGGCTCCTTCTACTTCTGCTCCCCTAGGCCCACAGGTGATGGGGTTTCATGATCAGAGCCGTCTCTGTAGAGTCACCCAAGGGAAAACTCTCTTTGATCCTGTAGCTCTCAGACAGGTGTGTCAGATCTGGATCCAACTGGATGAGTCCTCGTCTGGGGCAAGGAGAGACTGAGGCAGGACGTCAGAAAGGACGTCTCCTTGTGTTTCTGACCATGATGCACTCAGTGTGGCTTCTGTCTGTGTGCATAAGTGTGCATGCAGCCGGGCGGTGGTGGCGCACGCCTTTAATCCCAGCACTGGGGAGGCAGAGGTAGGCGGATCTCTGTGAGTTCGAGGCCAGCCTGGGCTACAAAGTGAGTTCCAGGAAAGGCACAAAGCTGTCTCAAAAACCCTGTCTCAGAAACAAACAAACAAACAAACAAAAAAAGAAGTGTGTGTGTAACCACATTAGTGGTCTTCTGTCTGTGTACAGAAGTGTGCATGTGACCACATTAGTGGTCTTCTGTCTGTGCACAGAAGTGTGCATGGGACCACATTAGTGGGCTTCTGTCTGTGCACAGAAGTATGCATGTGACCACATTAGTGGTCTTCTGTCTGTGTACAGAAGTGTGCATGTGACCACATTAGTGGTCTTCTGTCTGTGCACAGAAGTGTGCATGGGACCACATTAGTGGGCTTCTGTCTGTGCACAGAAGTATGCATGTGACCACATTAGTGGTCTTCTGTCTGTGTACAGAAGTGTGCATGTGACCACATTAGTGGTCTTCTGTCTGTGCACAGAAGTGTGCATGGGACCACATTAGTGGGCTTCTGTCTGCATCTTTGTATTTCTGACAAGACCAGCTGTGACCTCAGCTGACTTGTGTGCACCTTGCATGCACTATGTACCTCGTACAGTCCTGGAGCATAGGATTTCTATCACTCTATGGAACTGAGGCCTGAGGTCAGAGCGACTAACTTATTAGCTAAAGGCCACCCAGGCCATCGGTGGAGAGTGCGATCGGAGCCCAGGTCGGCACTTGTGGGTGGGAGTGCAGGGTGGAGAAGGGCAAAGGAAGGTCTTTGTTTGCTTTTTGTTGTTGTTTTAACTTATCTTCTGGTTGGGTCAAGTTTGTCTATCGAGTGGGAAGGCTACTGTGTCATAAATAGGACTAGGAGAAGGCCATAAGGCTAGGTGTCCCCAGGACAACTGGAGTCCCTAGGTTGGTGACCCCTGAAGATTCTCTTTAGGGACTCCTCCAGAAGTCATGCACCAGAGTGGAGCGGCATGAGGGGGACCCAGCAAAGGAGGTGTTTCTCCCTGGACATCTGCTGCAATGATAGGCACGGAAGAGGAGGGTCTTGGCTGCTTCCAGGGCTTGACATGCCCCCAGGATGGGGATGGGATGGGCCTGGATGGCTCATGAAACCGAAGGCGGTTTCCAGCACTGTGTGGACTCTCTGTCTTGTGTGCAGGTATTGGACCCAGCTGCCTGTTTGTAGCAATGATGTGTCAAGAACCACAATGGTTGAGAGGTACCTGAGGTAGCCATGTGCACTGCCTGCAAATTCTACCTGCAATGTTAGCTGAAAAGTCTTGATGTACCACAGTCACTGGTGGGTCTTACACGACTCTGTGAGGATTGCTGCTGCAGCCTCTCTTCCTCCAAAGTCTACACTTTAGCTCCCAGCCTCCTTTTAATCCTCAAACAGGGCAACCCTTCCCACTTGAGAGTCTGTGCAAGCACTCTCTGTGTCCCAGGAATGTTTCTGTTCTTCCCGGCAGACATTCCCGTTCATCTTTAAAATACATAATTTATTTATTTATCTTATGTATATGGGTGCTTGTCTGCATTTGTGTCTGTGTACCACATGTGTGCCTACTGCCCTCAGATCTCTTAAGATCGGGGTTACAGATGGTTGTGACCTGCCAGGTGGGTGCTGAGAACTGAAGCCAGGTCCTCTGGAAGAGCAGGCAGTGCTCTTAATTGCTGAGCAAGCTCTCCAGCCCCTCCTATTTATCTTTTGTTTTGTTTTGTTTTTAGAGACAAGATTTCACTGTGTAGTCCTGACTGTCCTGGAACTCACTATGTAGACTAGCCTGGCCTCGAACTCAGAGATCTGCCTGCCTCTGCTTCCTGAGTGCAGGGACCAAAGATGTGAGCCACCACTGCCCGGCTTTCTTCCTAGTCATCTTTAAGAGCCACTTTTTTTTCTTTTGAGACAGGGTCTCCCTATGTAACCCTGGCTGACTTTAAATTCCCTACATAGACTAGGCTGGCTTTGAACTCACAGAGATCAACCTGCCTCAGCCTCCAAAGTTCCAGAATTAAAGGCATATGCCACCATTGTTGGCCTTTAAAATTCACTTTAATGTTGTCCCCTCCCCTTTATTTATTCATTCATTCATTCATTTATTTTTTTTGAGACAGGGCAATACTGGTCTTGAACTCACCATCCTCTCACATTCTAAGTCTGGGATTGCAGGAATGAGTCCCATGCCTGCCTGATAAATGTCCCTCTTTAGAGCAGTCTTCCTGAGCTCTCAGTTTAGATCAATGTTTCTCTGTGTTTCTGTTTCTATCTCTTTGTCTCTGTCTCTGTCTCTGTCTGTGTGTGTGTGTGTGTGTGTGTGTGTGTGTGTGTGTGTGTGTGTGCATGTGTGTGTGTGTGTGCATGTGTGTGTGTGTGTGTGTGTTGTATGCACAAGTGAATGCATGTGCATACAGAGGTGGAGGTCAGAGGTGGAGGTCAGAGCAGGATCTTGCTGGGTGTCTTCCTTTGTTACTCTCTTTGTTGCCTGGAGACAGATTCTCTTGCTGAGCTAGACACTCGCCTGCTAAGCTAGGCCTGCCAGCCAATGAACTCTCAGGATCTGCCTACCTCTGCCTTCCATGGTTCCTGGCATGCACACCCATGCTGGACCTTACATGGGTGCTGGGGATTTGAACTCAGGTCCTCATGCTGGCAGAGCAAGTTCTCTGACCCACTGAGCTGTCTCCTCAGCCCCCTTATTTCAAACTTAACTAAGCTGAGAGGATGTTTGTTTAATAGCCGGGGCTCCCCTTGGACCACACAGGCTGAAGGTCTACACTTATTTTGTTTGCTATTCTTTTTTAATAGACACTTTATTTTATGCGTATGAGCATTTTGTCTACATGCATGCATGTGCACCACATGAGTGCCTGGTGCCCTGAGAAGAGGGCATTGGATTCTCTGGAACTGGAGGTACAGATTACAAACAGCTGTGAGTGGCCATGTAGGTGCTGGGAACCGAACCCAGGTCTTCTGCAAGAGCAGCCAATGCTCTCAACTGCTCAGCCATAATTCCAGGCCCCTTGTTCACTATCCTTTTCCAATACTGAGAACACTGTACCTGGTCCTTATGGATGCTCAGTTAATAAGTGCTGAATGAATACCTGAATGGGTGATCAAAGGAAAGGATAAATTTGAGGGGAGGTGAGAATTCAAACCCAAACAGGAGGCCTTCCTTGGTGGTTTTAGGTTTCCCTTCAGAGGGAGGATCTGGGAGAATAGCGGGCTAAGGGCCTGGTGGGTGCTCAAAGCTCACTGTCGAGGCAGTTGTTACTGGCGGGCAACCCAGTCACCTCTGTTCTGCCCACACCTGTCTGTAGGTGAACTTTTCTGTCCCACCAGCTGTTCCCCAAATAACCATTCAGAGACTTATTATTAATTATAAATGCTCAGCTGATAGCTCAGGCTTGTCTCCAGCCAGCTCTTACAACTTAAAGTAATCCATTTCTACTAATCTATGTGCTGCCTGAGGCTCGTGTACCTCATCTGTAAACTTCCCACGTTGTTTCTGCTTCTTGCTTATGACTCCTCAGACTCCTCAGACTCCGCCCTTCTTCCCAGCATTCTCTCTGCCCTGAAAATCCTGCCTAGTCATTGGTCAATCAGCGTTTTATTAACAATAAGAGCAACACATTTCCACAGTATACAGAAGGATTATTCCACAGCAACTGTCACTCCAGACTATTTCCCACTGGTTGTCCCTAGACCTTCAGGGACATGCATCCCCAATCCCTACTCTCACCTCTCCTAAAAGAGCCCTTGAAGCTAGGAAGGGGAGAGGTTGGGTGCAGTTGGGTGCACAGCTTCATTTTCTATGAGATCCTCCAAAGTGGAAGTGTCTAATATGGATACATTCCCCTCCTTCCCCTGTGGTCCTGGGTCCCAGAATCTTTCCCCACACA